AGAAAGGGAAAACGAGAGGAAAGAGAGAGAGAGAGAGAGAGAGAGAGAGAGAGAAAGGCGAGAATATGGAAGATCGTGCACGTGACCTTTTGACCGCAGGAAATTCTTCGGATAAACGGGCTTTTCAGCCCGTACAGCCAAGAAGGGAGCAACAAGTGTGAATCTTGTCTACCCTCTGGATCTGATCGTTCTTAGCTTTTCTCTCTCTCTCTCTCTCTCTCCCTCTCTAACTTTTCTTTTTCTCTTTCTCTCTTCGATTTTTTCCCCTTTATCCTTTCTGTTTATTTCTGTATAGATAAATTTTATCTATACAATCACGTTTTTATTTTTTATTTTTTTTTTCATTGAACTTTGAATTCGAATTCGAAATTTCGATCGCGATTGACACGCGTAACGAGCGTGTTACGAATACGAGGTTGACGATGAGAGCAGCGTAAAAAATTTGTTGCTGAAATTCGGGGAGATTGAGAATACAGCGATTCACTTGGATGGAATAAGAAGCTCGCAAACGATACGATAGGCAGTCTGAAATGCTTATTCACCGCTACGGAATGAATAATGGACTGGTGGCAAAATACTGGTGGAGACATAAATATTGTATCTGGAACGCTATATATTACCTGTATCGAATACATTATCTAGATCGTTCTCCGTTCCCCTGTTCTCCCAGTTTCTATCACAGATCGAGATCGTTGCCATGGGAATGCGTATACACAGACTCGTATCATATCCGATCTTCTCTCTTGATTCTTCCCGATCGGCGGCGTTCTTTCGTTTCGATCACAACGTGATACAACATGATTTTAATCCATCTCATATCGCTTACCAGCATGCGTGATCGTTTCACTTCGTCCGCCGATTTCGTTTCTTTCGATTGGAACGAACGAAAGAAAGAAGAAAGGGGAGGGGGAAGAGAGAGAGAGAGAGAGAGAAAGGAAGAGGAACAGTAGAGTGGAGAAATCCTGGAGGAGAAGGTCGGTCGATGCGCAAGGAAACGCAATCATTTGCAATCCCGCGTAGAACCGCTTTCAAACTCTACGAAGGAATTTATTAAAGTTTGACTAAGTCGCTTTGCAAAGTTTCATCGAGGTGCACCGTCGAGGTGTACCTTAAGGTAGGAAGAAGAGGAGAGATCGGCCAACCCAGTGGAGCGCAGCGCGAGCCACGACGACGACAACGACGACGACGACGATGACGACGAAGATGACGACGACGATGGAACGGAGGGGAATCCTCTCGAAGAAGCGGGACGAATTGCCGAAAGAGAGGAAGGCGGAGGTTCGAGAGGAGGCGGGAGGAGCGGTTGAAATGGACGGTGGTAGTGGTGGTGGTGATGGTAGCGGTAGTGGAGGTAGCGAGGGCGGTAGAAGGTGGTGGAGGTGGCGAAGAAGGTGGAGGAGAGGAGGTAGTGGCGAACGCGAAACGGCGACGACGACGGGACGCGAAGGAAGGAGGTGCAGCGGCGAAGGGAAGGGAAGAGCGGAGAGGAGGAGAGGCGATGGGTAGTTGTCTTACGCGGGAACGGAGGGGAGGTAGAGGAAGGGGCAAAGTTACTTTCCCGGAGAAATAAAAGTTAATGGAGTTCTCCCTACCTACCTACCTACCTACCTTCCCCCCTCCCTCTCTCCCTCCCTCTATGTCTCTCCGCCGCCTTTTTCCTCTTCTCTTCCATCTCCTTGCCGGCGTACAACTTTCACGAAAGTTATTATATCTTAATTTACTATTGAACATTATCTGAAATTTCTCCAGCGTTTCCGTTTTAATGCGTTCGAGAACACCAACGCGGGGAATACTACGCGTAGCTTATATAACTTTGCTGCACAGGAGAAGATATTAACGTCGTCCAACGTCGTCGTTTGTTTTTTTTCCTTATTCGGGTGAAGGATAAAGAGGGGGGGGGAAAAAAAAAACGAAAATAACGAAAATAAATACATACATCCATACGTTTTTCTTTTTCTTTTTCGTCGTTGAAAATTCGGATCGGTATATCCGATCTTCGTAATAAAACGATTGTCAGTGTATCATTGAATACTACTCCTTCGCTTCTTTCGGTAACCATACTTACTTCGTATCCTCGTTTTATCGGACATGTGGCCCGCGTCAACGACCTTGTGTTGTATCCATCACGGTCGGTCGCACACTCGGTATCTCGTTTACGATGAAAACGAAAGAATCGACTCGTCTTTTACGTTCGAATCGTGGATTTTACACGGGGCAATCTTCTTGCTTCCTCACGTAATGTCAACCTCTCTCTCTCTCTCTCTCTCTCTCTCCCTCTCCCTCTTTCTTCT